CACACACACATACACTTCTATACAATGCGCCATAACAGGCGGCCTTCTGAAAACGACTGTATACAGATACTGCATCCCACTCCATTCCACTCCATATCCTCCATACACATACACAAAATACCCCGAGACAGACTGAGAAAAAGAGAGCCTATAGACCCGCCAGCCATTAACGACTGTGCCATATACTGTAAGTCGGAGAAACTGGGGAAAATGGAGAGAGTGAGAAAGGGGGAGGAGAGGGTGAGGTGAATGTAGACAAAAATGAAATGATGCCATAATTATTTTGATCGAGAGGGAAGCGGGGAGCACAAAGAAAACAGGCACTCTGCCTGTGCAGCCGCCAAAGTGGAAGGGGAATTAGAGGCAGATGACTGCTATAATTCCTTGCCTGGAGAAAACCATCCATTTCACAAAGCTCAATCTTTAACTGGTGGAGACAGTGGGAGCAGTGTGTGAGAAGGGAGGGGGTACTGAGGATGGGAGGGGGGGAAGTTGACCAGAAGCTATTGAGCACTAGATGCGAGAAAATTGAATTTTTTTAAAATTGCCAAATCATCTTGTCTACTGAACGAAACTCATATATAATTCTTTAACAACATTGGAGTTTTTAAGCCCAAAGTCCCAGCAAGTATCCAGACTTTATGAACAAGCTAACTGTCCTGCTTTGCTTTCCCTGTTGGGTGGCCTGCCAATAATTTGTAAATGAAAATAAGCTTTTAGCGATTATTTTTTTCCCCTCTCGCTGGAATTTTGAGGGAAAAGGTGTCTCTCTTTTCTTTTCATTTACTCTCCATCTCCTCCTTCCGCTCCGTTCACCTGTTACCATCCTCTCCCCTCTCCCTTATATCTCTCTTTCTCTCTGTCTGTCCCCCTCTATCGCTCCTCCTTTGTTGGCTCCTAATAATGAAAGGATTAGTGTTGGGCTGCGTTCCCGACAAGAAGAAATGAATATGACTTGCTAAGGCATTAAAGAAAAGCTTAATTATTTTAGAATGTCATTAAGAGGATAAAAAGGTTTAAAAGTCTTAATAAGAAGGGCAAGAGGAGTGATAGCAAAAGGAGTGAATGAGAAAATAAAATGGATGGATATTTTTTCTGAATGCTACCACACATATGCAGATACATGCACACATTCATACGTACAGTAAACATGTTGACAGAACAAGTATACATATCTCTGAATTCCTTATTTGTATAAAAAAAACAACAGCAACATAAATTAAAGGAAACTTTTAAGAAATAAGAAAACAGTTTACTATTGAAACGCATTATGAAGCAACTATACTAACACAGAATATTAGCCTATAGAGGTGCAAAGCCGAACAAACTACTGTCCAGTGATCTTTAAAGAAAAAAAAAAGAATAAAAAAAATCATTTGTCTTTATGAGAAACCAGAGGTCTTATTGATTTTTTTATTAATTATTATTATTATTTGAACAATTATGATTGTTGTTAATGTTATTATTATTGCTGTTGTTATTATTATAATTGTAAATGTTAAAGAAATGTACACTTCCCATGGTTTGTTTTTGGTTCTACTGTAGAGAAATTGCTGTCTTTTTTCACTCTTACCTTTCCTCTCTATCCCGGTCTTTCTCTCTTTGTCTCCTGTGCCTAGTCGTCTCTTCTCCTGTCTTTCACTCTTGTTTATTTTAGAGTCCATGTGTCATTGTTGATATATAGCTAACTATTTCTTTATAGGGGAAAGATACAAAGCACGACAAAATAAAAAAGAATCCAAAAATACCCTTTGGGATCAGACTGGTTTTTGGATGTGTTTACTGTGTAATTAGCAGGTTCTGTGTTTGAAATCCTCCAAAAAGAGAACAGGAGACAGAGCATATGATTAGATCAATGGGGAATAGTGGAGTTATAGGTGGGAAGATAAAGATGAAGGCGGTGGAGCCGGTTATAACTGGCAGCTCATTCAGAATAAATAGAATAAACAAAACAGAAGGTTCTGTGGCGCCGCTAATGAATCATAAGAACAGATAGCGGGGAAGAAAGGGTGACAGGAGGGTTTAGTCAGATGCACACAGAAAAATATGACTCTGCCATTAACTTCCACGCAATCAATACCCGATTCTGTCGAGAAGCACTCAACATGTCCATCTGTGCACGAGGCTAGATTTGAAAGCCGCCGAAGGTCGCCGGGTGATAGATCGATGTGTTTCTCTTCTATCGATGGCAGGACTCCATGGTCGCCTGTCATAAAGACAGATTGTCAAACGGCAATCAAAGTAATGGACTTGCCAGGCCCTACCAGCATGAGTTGACACTCCGGCCAACAAACAATTCACACACACACATACACAAGTCGACACCAGACATATCTTCAGTTTATGAGGAAGCAAGGGGAGCGCAGGTAGCTCCTGCTATCAGACCCACCATGGTCGATGAGTAATAAAACAGAGAATATTGTCGCTTTTTATGTCTTGAAAAACAGAAGTGGTATGTCCTTCAAACAAAGGTTTCATCTGTTGTTTTCCTGTGGGATTCACAGCACTCAGTCGGGTTGTGTTTGTTGGTTGTTTGACACTGTTATTTCTGCTTCTCTTCACAGGAAAAAAAAAACTCTGACTTTTTAGTTCAAGTTTGCTATTTTGCTTTCCATAAATAAAGATTTCAATCACATTCAGACTTATTGTTGCTAATGCTGTTACTGCTTGCTCTGGTGCATCCTGGGAAGGCGGCCATTATCTAGACCATAACCACGATGCAATTCAGCTGCAAGACCTGATGACAATCAGAACACCACTGTGATCATAGAGGGTGATTATCAAATCAATAAACATAAGCTAAAATGAGATTGGGACAAGCCAGACAACAGTCAGTTGTATTTGCTCCCTGAGTTTATGACATGCAATGAATGTAGCAAAATCTGGCCAGTAATGACAGCAAGAAGTCTATGAATAACTCACACGGCATCTCCCTGATGCTTGTTTCACCGATTAACGTCCTGGAACGGATTCACAACAGAGAATTCCCCGTTTATGACCCATTTATGACAGCCATATTTCATTTCTACAAGTTGCAGTAGATATCACAGTACATCCAAACACAAACTCTTTATATTTCTGGTGGCTACATGGTGGATTAGACACAGTTTTATCCATCTGTAAAGTCAACCGTAATGACCCTAGGACGGAACGCAGTTTATGTCCACTGGTCTTGGCAGCGTGACCCTAGCTAGGCAAGGAGCTGTGTACACAGTGGCAGCATAGCATGAGGCATTGATTGAGGTGCTGAGGCTGAGCATAATCAGGAAGCAGAGAGGCAGACAGAACAATTGAATGGGCAGCCGCGCCCGAGAAGCTGGGGAAATCTTTTTTTTTTTTTCCTTTACCAGATTTCTCTATCAATAATGTGTTCCAGTCAGGGATTTTTTTTTTTTTTTTTGCAGTGATGAAACACATACTGTGTACTTTTTGAGTACATAAAGAGGAGGTGGAAAGCAGGGAGAGACATTATGAGTTGAAAATATAAATGAAAAATAGAGAATCTGTAGAAATAGCTAGAAAATAAGAGCGAAAACAGTGAACAGCAAATCTCAATCCAGACATGAAGGGAGTGAGGAAGCTGCTGAGAAGTGTGTTGAATGTCATGCCCATGTTCCATGCAGACAGAGATGGATTTTTCCATCAGTGATTTCTTATACCTACATGGTTCAAGATGAACAATCCAATTAGAGTGAGCAAGGCCCTTTTTATTACAAGATCACATTGTATTTAAAAGTTTAATCAAAACAGCCATGAAGATTGTGTCATAACCAGGTTAATGACGTTTTCCCTACAATGCTCCAGCCTCTCTGGACCACTGTGTTATTACTGAATGTTTAATTAAACGCTGTCACTCATATATCTACATTACTGGTGGGTGACTTAGCAGAGACTTAGAACAGGCTTAGCATAAGACCCATAAGAAGAGCAGTCAAAGAAAACAGACATCTGTGATCAGGATAGTACTCATCATCTGGAGACTTAATTTTCTCACTGACATTTGGTTTGGGACCTGATAATTAACTGGCCTTTTCATTTGCGAGCGATTCATAACGTCTGTGCACAAGGTTGGTGATTAGTTAAAAAGCCAACAACAAACAGGAATTTGCCATATTTATTTGTTTCAAACACTTTTTTGGCTTTTTTGCCATGTACACAAAACATGGAAGGAACATTGCTTTAAGAAAATAATTGAACTGCCTGAAGATGATGACAAATGTTTACATTGCGAACAACAGCCCAGGTCTTTCCATTTTGTCAAGAATTCAGACCTCTGGGCACACTTTGGCTTTAAGGGAGTGTTTGGCTGAAGACCATGGAGCTGCCTGCACTGCCTCACACAGGGCCATACGGACAGATTTTACTGTGGACGGGGCTACTGCGGGTGGAAGGTGGGGAACAGAGAGAGGAAAGGATGCCCGTTCTTCCCCTACTTGATTCTTAGGAGGAGTGAAGAGGAGCTGTGGCACAAGGCCGTACAGCTGGAAGAGAAACATGGCAACTGCATGGGCCCAGGCAGGAAGATTGGTATTGGGGGTGAAAAGCAAGAGAGCATGGATAATGTGGAGCGGCAGGCACAGCAGAACTAACAGGGAGAGGGACAGAGCCAGCAAACGGACCCCGCAGGAGTCGTGTTTAGGGGTGTCTGCATGACTAAAAGGAGTCTTCCTTGGCTTAATGCATAGTAGGTCAAGGTAAATGGCCAGCAGGCAAAGCAAGGGGAGCATGAACACTGTCATGCCATGAACATAGACTAGGAACTGGGGACTGAGAATGGTGTCTGGGGCACACACTCCCCAGTGGCTGCTATGAATCTCAGCGTAGGTGAAGTTGTGCATGTCTTCCACATAAAACTTTGACAGGAAGCCTCCGTACGGAAGGTACTTTCCAATGACCTTGC